TCTCTCATGGTTCATCTACCCCTCCGATTTCCCCCCCTTCATTCTTCCCCTCCTGCTATCTTCTTCTTTTTTTCTTAACATATATTGCATTATTTGTTTCAGAGGTACAGATCTGTGATTCAACTGTCTTGCACAATTCACAGCTCTCTAGCATGTCTTTCCACGGGTGAGGAAACTAGCTTTAAAATATGGGGCGCATGAGTGGCTCAGTCGTTAAGCGTCTGCCTTCGGCTCAGGTCATGATCCCAGAGTCCTGGGATCGAGCCCCACATCGGGCTCCCTGCTCTGCGGGAAGCCTGCTTCTCCCTCTCCCACTCCCCCTGCTTGCGTTCCCTCTCTCGCTGTGTCTCTCTCTGTCAAATAAATAAATAAAATCTTGAAAAAAAAAGAAAAGAAAAAGAAAAAAAGAGGGGTGCCTGGCTGGCTCAGTCAGTAGAGCATGCGACTTCCAGCCCCACATTGGGTGTAGAGTTTACTTAATATATGTTTATATGTAATTTTTTTAATTAAAAAAAGCTTTATATTTTGGAACTTTACCTTAAATCACTGAATATAGGGGAGCTTTACTTTCATATTATTGGATTATTTAAATTTTTAAAATTACATCCAGACTCCTATGTATTTCAGACTGGAGCGGAGACAAGTTCTTTTACACAGCCTAAAGGACACGTTTATCACTTGCATTTTTCTGACTCATTACAGAAAAGGACAGAACTATTTAACCTCCTTGATTTAAATGCCAACAATTTCTGTCAACAAGGGTTTGTAATTTACATGACAAATCAATAGAAGCAGAAAGTGCTACTCAAGGGGGAAGCCTGTAGTCTAACTGTCCTTTGATATTTTAGTAGTCTTAATCATAATGACTAAGGAGAAGAGGTTATAATGTCTGGTGTCCACAAACAGTTGCTAATAGTCTTAATTGTGGAATTAGAGTAGGTAGTCACAGTATTTAAATTATCTGCCTTGGAGATTTCAACTTATTCCTGAGAAGATTAACAAGCTTTCCAGCCTTTTAAAAAAATCTTAAAAAGGATATGCTTAATTTCTAGGAACTAATTTATTTCTTATTCTTATTTATTACAAACTAATTTATTTCTTACTAGTTGTTACAGTTTTCTAGGTGGAGAGATCCTTTTTATGTAATGAAAAAAAAAGTGATTCTATTCCCAGAAAAGTGAATTACTTGCTCAAAATTTTTCATACTAGTTCAGGAGTTTCATAGATTACTTTCCCCAAAACCTGTTCATGGAGGAACTGAAAATCCACTTGTTCCAAAGAAGTATTACTCAGTCTTTGGAAAGACTGCATCTTCCTAATTCATTGTAAACCACACCATATACTTCAAGGTTGAAAAAGAAGACAAAGGGGGGGGGGAAACTAAATGAACCTTTTCTTTTCTCTAATGATTCACACTAATTTTCTTTTTAAATCATAAATTTGGGGGAGGGGAAATCTCAAATTAAAGGAATCTTAGGCATTTGGGAGAAAGCCCTTCAAAGGGAATATGAACCTGGAAATACAAAGTTTTTCAAGAATCCATTGCATTTAGGCTTCCTTGGGCATTGAGACCTGATTTTGTATTTTTAAGAAAACAACAACATCCCAAAGTGATTGCAAACTTTGTGGGTTAAGAAGCCTGCCTTCAAATACAGGTGGCTGAAATCTTTGGGAGGAAAAAAAACCCCTGAACCCATTCAGTAAAGTGAGACTTCCTACTTTTATCCAAGAGAGGTGTTAGCTCCAAGACCCAATTAGCTGAATTACCATTCCAATGGCACCTGAGGGCTGGTCCTGCCGCTATCAGGCCTAAAAATACCATTAAGAGGTGTGACTCCACGCATTGCATTAGTCACTTCCTGCCTACCGTAGGTATCAGGATAATTTGGGGATAAACCTGGCAACTGAGCTGCTACTCCAAAGAATTACATTTTTTTCCTGAATTATGCAAATGTTCTCACCCACAGCATTTTCTTTCGAGTGTTTTAAAGTTACGAAGTTCAACCCAGATCTCTGTGGTTTTGAGAACTTAGTAGGCCATGGTTCCATCTATGTATTATGCTGAAACCAAGAACCAGGACACATTTTGACTTGGGTCCTGACTCACCTCTTGCAGATAGCACCTGGTGTTTGTTCGCACCAAATTTGTCAAGCTTCTAATTAAGCAATTTGGGAAGTAGCCTTATTGTTTGTTTTGAAAAGCCGGGTGTCTGCACCCGGTGACAAAAAATGAGGTGACAAAAAATTTAAAAACTCTCTACACATGTGGATGGAGGGTGGCCTCCATGGCAGTTACCTGGCTGCTTTTAAAAATACAGATTCCGTGTCCAAACCCCAGACCTCCTTCATCCGAATCTATAGCAGCAAGTCCTGGGAACGTGCCTATTTTGAAAAATTGCATAGGTAATTTTTATGCAGTCTGATGCTTGGAAACTTCTGCTTTAGAGATGTTTGTAGATGGAGAGATCATTTCCTGGGCTTTTTACACATAGTTGTTTAAGATTCGATTTTTGTTCCTAACTCTCCTTGGATAACAAGAGTAAAGTGGCGCCTGGGTGGTTCAGTCAAGCGTCTGCCTTCAGCTCAGGTCATGATCCCAGGGTCCTGGGATCGAGCCCCACATCGGGCTCCCTGCTCAGCGGGAAGCTTGCTTCTCCCTCTCCCACTCCCCCTGCTTGTGTTCCCTCTCTCACTGTCTCTCTCTCTGTCAAATAAATAAATAAAATCTTAAAAAATAAAAATAAAAATGCTTCTTTTGCAGAATACAACTGCTATTGAATTGTGAATTCCAAAGAATTTCTTTTAATGACAGCATTTTTGTTTTGATGAGGTTTGTATCATCAGTATGTTGTCTGCTTGCATCTGAATCCAGTGATTTCTACCACCACTGAGGCAATAGCAAGTATGAAAGTGAGAACTCTAACCTCGCATTACCCATTTGGGGCAAAACCATACAGTCTCGGGCAAACTGCTTAATTCTCTATGCCTCAGTTTCTCTCTTATGTAAAACGGGCATAGTAGTAAAACTTGACCTTAGAAGTTCATGTGGGAAGTAAATAAAATTATCCATCTTAAGCTCTGATAAGTGTGCAGTGTTAATCATATTATTGGTGTCATTGAAAA